AAAGAAGCAAGTTCAAATCCAGTTCTGTGAAAAATGAAATGCAGCCAAGCTCCAGTGTCTTAGGCCTGTAACCCTAACCAGTCTGGAGGTTGAGAAAAGAGGATTGTGGCTTCAAACTGGGCTTGATTAAGTTCTAGAGACTCTTATCTCCACCTAACAACACAAAGCCTGAAGTGGAGTTGTGGCTCAAGCAGTAGAGCACCAACCTTGGGCAGAAAAAGATAAGGATATGGGGGCCTGAGTTCAAGCCTCAGTAATGGCTCTAGCCCAGGATATTCTGAAACACTAAGAGGATTCACTGAGGGGAGTTTTGAGGAGTTCAGGTTCGAAGGGGAGTCTCCTATGGGGGTCTTTGCTCTGTTGTATATACCTCTATCCAAGGTCTTGCCAGATTATTTAGCACCAAGCAGCCCTTTTTGTATGCACTCAGACAGCATTTGTAATCCACATCCCAGAATGTTTTGTGGTACCAGTTATCTCTTTGTGTGAGTCATGGCCTTCAACTTGCCTCTAGGCAAGGGGGAGAATAACTCATTCTCTCTCTGCCTCTTTCCCTCTTTTCCTTTCTCTCTTTCCCTCTTTCCCTCTTTCCCTCTTTCCCTCTCTCTCTCTCTCTCAAGGCATGCTCATCACCCATAGGTTTGAGTGAGTCCATTATCTGTGCAAAGGCCTCCTCTACAGTGCCCTTGCACCTAGTACTCTCTCTGAAGATCTTGTGTGACAAAATAAGCAGGGATTTTTCTAGCAGGTCTTGTCTGTGAGACTCTACAACAGGATACATAGGTACATGTGTTAGTCCTCAGAGCTAGGCCAGGGATGTGTCTGAGCCCTGACCTATCCCACCTCTTGCAGAACTTGCCCATTCCTAGACCGCACACAGTACCCTTATTTCTGGCCTGCAGTGCTCCTCTTCAGCCTGCCCACTACGCAATTCAACTCTGCAGGGTCTTCTGCTTTTTCATGCTTCTAGCTTAGCCACCAGGAACCTCGATGACCTGCACATTAAAGCCTGAGCCAACTGCCTCCAATGCCCTGGCCCCAGGGTGCAGTTCTGGAATTGGTTAAGCTAAGCAACTGGGGCTGGGGTTCTTACCCAAGTGTAGGTTCCTCTCCTCTCCTCTGCTCTCCTTTTCTTTTTTAGTCTGTGTAAGGTTTTAGGCAAGAAAAGACAATGCAGAGAGGAATAAAAAGATCGGGGTGTGCTCCCAGGCAAATTTCCTGGTCGGAATCAGAACGGTCACGCTGAGTTTAGTTGCAGAGGGTTTTTTGTTTTGTTTTGCTTTGCTTTGTTTTGTCATGGGGCTTGAACTCTGGGCCTGGGCACTGTCCCTCAGCTCTTTAGCCTAAGGCTAGCACTCTACCACTTGAGCCACAGTGCCACTTCCAGATTTTTATGCTTGTGTGATACTGAGGAATGGAACCCAGGGCCTCATGTGTGCAAGGCAAGCACTCTACCACTGAGCTACCTTCCCAGCCCCTTATAATCAAGCTAAAACTTTTAGTGAGCGGGGACTTGTGGCAAGTAGCTTAGTTTTCAAGTTTGAGTGGTTTTAGTGCAGTGCACTCAAAGAATGGTTGACTCAGATGGTGTTTCTGATAGGGATGTGGTCTTTCTCATCAGCAGCCTGTTCCCCATCCCCCCCTACCCCCATGGCCTGACATTTTTCTCAGATGCCTACTTCCTCCAGCAGCCTGACAGTCTGCTCTGCCCTTCTTTCTTCTCCTTTCAACTCCTCTTCTCCACCCCTCTGCTCCACTCCATTCCTGTCCACTCCTCTCCTTTCCCTTTCCCTCCTCACACCTCTCTTATCCTCCTCTAGTTATTTTTCTTTTTACTTTGCACATCTTTGCTCTCCTTTCTTTTTCTTTTTCTTTTGATAGTGTTCTATAACTTGGGCTCCTCAAGGCCAGTGTGCTATCCTTTAGCTTTTTCCCTCAGGCCTGGTACTTTATAATTTGAGGCACACATCTACCTTTGGCTTTTTACTCCTTAATTTGAGATAAGAATATCAAGCACATTTCTGCCTTTGCTGCCTTTCAACCACAGTCCTCAGATCTCAGCCTCTTGAATAGCTAGGATTACAATGTGAGGTACTGGTGTTATAAGGTGAGAAAACAGAGAAGCCACATCTGGAGGGGTCAAATCTTGGAGTCTTTATTAAAAGGTGGGCAACTGCATGGTGGACTCCTGTCTCAAAGACCAGCATCCAGCATATACACTTAACGCTGTTTGGAAACTGAGCCATAAAAGCCAGAAAGGAAAGAGAAAACAAAAACAATACCAACAAATCAATTCAGTGGGACACCAGAAGACAGGAGACAGTACATGAACATGGAAACACGTGACATGGCTTAATGGCACCTGAGCTGATCTGGGCCTAAATAGGGTCAGGTCAGGGGACAGGATCACAAGAAACTCCCAGTCCCCAGCACTGGACTGACAGGTTTAGTAACCTATCATCCAAGTCCTTGCCTCTACCTCCAGAGATTCAGGTATGAGCATCACTTGGGAGAAGGAGGCTTCACCTCTTCCCCATCATGAAGATGAGATGCCAGACCTTATATGGACATACTCAGGTACCAGCAGAACTTTTCCATCTAGGGAAGCTAGGCCTCAATCTTCCATATAGGGTATGCTTAGAGGCTACTCAGAGGCTGGTGATCCAAACCATTTAGGAAGTTAATTAAGGCAGAATCAAAGCATTCTCTATATGCAAAGCTTTCCTAAGGCTATGACATCTGCATTTCTCGGAGGAAGAGTTCTCCTAGCTCACCTTGAGCTAGGCATCTGCATCCAGGCTTTTCAGCACTGGGTGAATTCACTCCCCCCAGCTAGAGGCTCCAGGATGGCTGCAAAAAATTACTTAGACTCAGCCTCCTTACTTCAGCTACAAAGAACAACAAGAAATTAGGAAATAATATAAAGTTATGGAAATAAATAACTTTGTGTACTTGGGGAATAAAAAAAGAAAAGATAATGTTGAACAAACAAGACAAACTCAAAAAAAAACAAATATCACATGTCTCCTCATATGTAGACTAAAAATTAAGAATATGGCATGTCTTCCAAATATGAAATGGTTATGGGATAAAATCAGCACAAGAGGAGAGAGAGTGGTGGGACTGAGCATGTCTAAATCAAAGGAAGGCTTCTTGGGTGCAGCTAAATCAGTGATAATGAAACAAATGGCAAAAAACTTTGGATAAAGAAAAATTTTATCACTGAATTAGCGAGTTTAGAGAAGTAATTGACATGCAAGTCTTGAAAGAGAAATGTATACTGAATGAAGGTAAACTTAAAGACAGTTTTCAAGATGTATAGAGACTAAAGGAATATTATCATTTTTGTAAAGGAAGGATTGTGTTTCTGAGAAGCAATATATAAACTGTCCTAGGTTTTCGAAAGGAAACATCAATAATGGCTTGCTTAGTTCAAAATAACTAGACAGGTACTAGTGGCTCACACTTGTAATTGTGCTACTCAGGATATTGAGATCTGAGAATCATGGTTGAAGCCAGCCTGGGCAGGAAAGTCCATGAGACTCTTATCTCCAAATAACTACTCAAAAAACCGAAAGTGACACTGAGTTTCAGGTGGTAGAGCGCTAGCCTTGAGCACAAAGAGGCTCAGGAACAATGCCCAAGCCCAGGTTCAAGCCCAAAACTGGCACACACACACACACACACACACACACACACACACACAAAACCTGTAGAGAATATATTTCAAATATATCACTATAAAATGTTGAGTAAGATGATAGATAACTTAATGTGATTTAATCATTGAGCCAAATATCAAATTTAATTATACTAGGGTTTAAACTCAAGGCTATATAGATAGATATAAATATTCTACTTTGATACACTGCTGAAGTAAGAAGGTCAGGTCTGGCCGGTGCCATATTGAGGCCCAGACCAGCTTAGCGACCAGAGACCATGCCATGTGTGTCTCTGTGATAATGTCCTGTGTCCTGTGTCCTGGCTTGTCTCCAGTCATCATGGAGTCACAATTCAGCTCTCCATTGGAGCTTAATTGGCTTGTTGGCATTGTTTTTGTTATTTCTTTCCTCTTTAGCATATTTCCTAGCTGTGTTATGTGTATTTGAGTGCTGCAGGCCTGTTAACTATATAATAAAGACTTCAATATTCTATTAAAATGTGGCTTCTGGGATGATTCTTACAACATTGGAATGTAAAAATAGACAAAGAATATGAAGAAAAATTTGAACTATGTAAATATGCATCTATATGAAATTAGTATTTGTCTTCTATAGTAATTGAAATTAAAAAAACTGAGGAAATAACTTTCACCACTTAAATTGGTAATACTTGTTGACATTTGATTATATTCAATGCTGTTGACAGTTGAGAAAAGGATATTGGAGTTGGGAATGTGAGGATATTTAAACACTGTCTAGACAGTCTTTCACTTGCTCATTTCTGTTACAAAAAGGCAAAATCTGACTGAAATGAGAGGTTTGAACATTTGAAGCCAGACTGCAACATAGTATGACTCTCTCTAAAACTAAAACTAAATCAAACCAAAAAGGAAGGGGGGGATGGGACAGAAAGAAGAGTTGAAAGAAGAAGAGAGAAGGGTAGAGGAAGGAAGGAAAGGGAAGGAAGGAAGGAAGGAAAGAAGGAAGGAAGGAAGGGAGGGAGGGAGGGAAGAAGGAAGGAAGGAAGGAAGAAGGAAGAAGGAAGGAAGAAGGAAGGAAGGAAGGAAGGAAGGAAGGAAGGAAGGAAGGAAGGAAGGAAGGAAGGAAGGAAGGAAGGAAGCGGAAAACTCAAAAACTCAAACTGGGTCAAGCTCAATGAAAGGGGCGGGGCCACATACGTGAGCCACAACGCAAACAAAGAAGAATTCTGAACCTTCTCTGTGATGTTTGTGACTGTTCCTCTGAGACCCAGTGAGTCTGGGACTGAGGCAGTCGTGACAGACTGCTGCAATGCCATGGCAGGGAAGCTTCTCTTAGGGCCTCTGGGAGGTTTCATTCATGGGATCCTTAAGCAGTCGCCTGTTGGGACGCAGGGAGCCGGGCACAGAGGAGCCAGAATCCCTGGGGAGCCCCAGTTATGTAGTTGGCAGTAGAAAGCGAAAGCGCAAACAAAGCGGAGAGTGCTGTTTAGATCCAGACTCTGGCAGCTACAACTATCTGGACCCAGGAGAGAAACTACACATAACACGCCACATAAGCCACAAGAAAAAAGCTAAGATTTCATCGACATTTGCTTACCAAACTTTTTTTTTGAATGGAATGATGAGTGACATTAAAATCCGTGCTCTGGGGAAAATTTGGTGTTTGCACAAAATATTTTTATCTCAGTCAGAATACTTTGCCAAGCTGTTTAGAGATTCATGGAAAGAAAGCAATGAAGATATTATTGAACTTGAAATTAATGACCAAAATATAGATGTGCAATCCTTGCACTTTGTACTTGGCTCCTTGTACAGGGATGAGGACTTCTTAATAGAGCCCCCTCAAGTTCCAACTATTTTGGCAACAGCTTGCCTGCTTCAAGTAAATGACTTAATTTATCAATGTAATGACATCATGAAAGAAACAATTAATGTGAAAACTGTGTGTAGATATTATATAGCAGCAGACACTTATGGATTAGACTATGTAAAGAAAGAATGTTTTGAATGGCTTCTTCACAACTTGATGACACACCCAACTATTCAATTGTACAAAGAAATCAGCCTAGTACTCATGAAACTGCTCATTTCTTCCTCTGATTTACTAGTAATGCAAAAGGAAGTGGATATATACACTACACTCAAAGAATGGATGTTCCTTCACCTTAATCCAGATTGGAAAGGCTCAATTAATCAGCTTTTAGTTAATGCTAACAACTGGCTTTCCAGGCATATGGAATGTGTTGACAATACCACTCTTCTTGAAACAGAAGAAGGAAGACCATTTCAACCAGTGTTTAAAAAACTGAGGTTTCAGCACATTATCTGTGACCTGGCCTCCACAAGACTTATTGAAAAAGATCGTCTAATACCTTCTGAGTGGTTATCATCAGTCTACAAACAACAATGGCTTACCTTGCTTAAGACACAAAAATACAAGGAAATTGGGCCTCAAGTTATGAATATAAGAGAATTTGAAGGATGCAGCATGAGGTGTGGTAAAAGGATTATCAGAAATGGTAAATACTCCTGGAAGTGGTCAGGCTTCCATTTTAGCTTTCCATTATATGTCATCTTTACCAGTCATTATATAATTTTCAAGCAAAATACTTTTAATCAGATGAATGAATGTTCTACCTGTATACCAGTTCTGCGACATATTGCATTCAGATTAACCTTGGTAAATTTTGATTCTACTAGAAACCTAAGTTTCAGCAAAACAACAGGTTGTAAAATCCTTACCTTCAAAAAGGATGAGGAACAAATAGCAATGAGATTGGATAGCACAGTTCTGAAATTCCCTTTATATATATTTTGCAACTTCCTGTTCATATCTTCAGAAAATACAGGAAAATAATAATCTTGCTAATTGGACTTTAATAACATTTTGAAATGTTTTGATGCCTCATTTAACCTTTTGTACCATAAACACAATTAAGATGATCAATAACAAGAAATACTCTTACAAATGTAGTAACATCATAATTGGCTCTTTTCCATCTTTATTGCATCTATTATCTATGAAGAAAAAAATTAAGTCCAACAAAATATTTGTCAAATCAGAGAGAAACTGATTCTGGCATCTTTTAATATTCATTTACTCTCAACAGACAAGCTCCAAATGGAAATAAAAAATCATATTTGTAAAGAATCAAAAACTTGAGAAATAAATCAGATGCTAAGATTGAGAGAAAATAAAAAATTCTGTTTCTACTGAAACTTTTGCACAAATGTGATTTAATTGTAGCATATTACATAAAAGAGTACTTCATTATGTGAAATCTGCAATCAGGTACTCCTTTAGAATATATAATGTATGGTTACTAATAACTGAACAATATCAGATTTTACAACATTGCATACTATGTAATTTTTATTTTACAATTAATCTTCTGTATAGCCCATCTTTGTATGTTCTGGAGAACCTGTAATTCTGATTATCTACATATATATGCAGATAACATAGCTAGATAGATGATAGATGGATGGATAGATAGATAGATAGATAGATAGATAGATAGATAGATAGATAGATAGATAGATAGATAGATAGATAGATATGGGTGGATGTTTTCACAAAATCATCCATCCCTTGACACATATAGTAGAAAGGTGGTTTGTTAGAATCTGGGAGAGGGAAGGGAGAGGAATACGAAAGGAGAGGTGTTAATTACAAAGTTTCAGTTAAACTGGAGGAATAAATTTAGTGATCTATTGCACTGCACAGTGACCATATTTGTAGTCACATAATTTTATGTATTATATAAACTCATGCAAGTAATTATTATACACATATAAATATGTACATATTTATATAAAATATACACCATATATATAATTATACAGATTTATATGTGAAGAAACTATAATGATAATTTTTGAAATGATAAGCAAATCAGTACTCTAAATGAAAGTGGAGTGCTGTAACATATCTTTATAGCTACCAACATATGAGTAATTTCAAAGTACTTTTCATTTTCTCTATTTGTGCTTAAATCAATCTTTCTTTTCATTTTAATTCATTTTTAGTTGGCAAATAATTGTATATATTTATGGAATAAAATATGGTGTTTTATTGTATGTATACAATGTAGACGGACTCTACTTAACATATCACTTCACCAACTTATTTTTATACTAAGGATGTTAAAGGTCTCAATTGGGCCAGGCACTGGCATACCTAGCTACTTAAGCAGCTGAGATCTGAGGGCTTAAGTTCAATGCCAGCCTAGGCAGAAAAAACTGTGAGACTCTTATCTCCAATTAACCATCAAAAAATCTTGAAATTAATTAGTGGGTCAAATAGTAGAATGCCAGCCTTGTGCAAAATAAGCTAAAGTACAGCACCTAGGCCCTGAATTCAAGCCCCAGTACCAGCACACGCACACACATACACACACACACACACACACACACACACACACACGCATGCACACACACTATTTGGGCATTTTAAAAAAATATACAGTACATAATCACCTGCATGGTGAAATATATCCCAAAAATTTACTCCTCCAGTCTACATCTTTTAATCAATATCTCTCCTCCCTTCTGTCTCTCATAACCTTTCTACTATCTGTTTCTGTATATTGATGACTGAAGGCACATCCCATCAATTGAAGGAATACATGAGATCCATCTATAGAAGGGTATATTACTCAAAACAGACAAGGAACTGAATTCAACTCTAAGAAAATGATTCAATTTAAAAAGGATATAAATAGACATTGGAGAGAGACAGACACAGACAGACATAGAGAGAGGAATGGTCCACAGATTCTTCTTATTTTTGCTAGGCCTTATTATTTTCATCTTCATACTATTTAGTGTAACATTTACTCTAAAATTAAAGTCAATAGAATACACAACATCCCTTTTAAAAGCTGCCTTCCAAACAATTCTTGAGCTAGGAAGAGAGATCTTAATCTGCTAAGCTGACTGCTATAATCTCAAATATTTTACACTATCTTAAGTGCAATTTGTGTTATTGTCAATATGCTTGTCTTTTCTATGAACATAAATTTCATCATATCACTTACTTCTTGAGCACTAAGTCAAGAGCAATTTAATTTTTTTGGGGGGTTGGGGGGTCCGGTCATGGGGCCTGATCTCGGCCTGGGCGCTGTCCCTCAGCTCTTTAGCTCAAGGCTAGCACTCTACCACTTGAGCCACAGCACCACTTCTGACTTTTTTTCTTTTTGCTTATGTGGTGCTGAGGAATCGAACCCAGGGCCTCATGCATACAAGGCAAGTGCCCTACCACTGAGCCACCTTCCCAGCCCCATTTAATTTTCTTAACATGTGGTATTTTTCAATTTTTATCTTCAAGACCCCTATGTTCTCATGAATCATAATGGCCTGGCAGTAGCTTCATCATTACTAGTGAATATCCCTGCTTTTCTTGAATTATTTCACAGTAATTTTACTGGAACTTGCATAACAATTTCATATGGGTAAATTGTCATTCATATGGAAGAATGGTTCTCTTGTACCTTAGGATGAACTGAAGAGCTTTAGAATGTTTAAGGTTTGTCCTGACACTTGTTTCCTTCTACATTTCCTTTTCTACTGTTTTTGTACTCTAAACATGAAGGAGATTGTATGGAATCTGAAAACTCAGATTTAGCTCACAAGAGATAAGTGTTTCTCTCATTTGATATTACTTATTAATGCTTAACACTTGACATAGAGCTCAGTTCTTCCTGAAAACAAATAGATATTTATAGCTATTTATTTATATTTATAGATCAGTATGGGTAAGATATGATGTATATAATTTTAATTTGGCAACATATAAAGCAATGATCCTTGGTTACTTTGGATAATTATGGATCAAGATAGTCTTATCTATTGATATCATTTCTCCTTTGTTCATGTATAACATTAAGTAAGATACTAGAGTAAAATGGAATGGGAATACATGTTGAACTAGTAGGCAACCTTTTGGGGATACCAGAGTTTCTTGAAATATCGTGTAAAACACATCTTTTCCTTATAGTTCTCTTTAAAATTTTGGCATTGAAAATTCATTAAGGTGTTATAATATTTACTAATTATGCCTAAAGAAGGGTTTGAATATAGATACTGTTAAATAATTCTTTAAGGCCTACACACTTAGACATCCATATGCCTCAAATTTTAGTGTATCATTTCAGGGAGTTTTTCAAATGGGAATTCAAAGAGAAAGAAATTCATTATTGTTGATTTATACCAAAATCTTAGATAAGCTAAAGGTTGACCATGAAACATAGATATTGGTAAGTAGAGCTATATGTTATGCATGAATGAGAGATACTCCTAGCAGAACTGACAGAAGAATGTCAGCAGCAACATCTATCTGGCTGAATGTCCCCAAACCCTCTGGTTCTCTTTGGGAAATCTCCAACAGAAATAACAACGTATTGTTGGTATGGTTTTAAGACAAAACAAAACTTAGGAAGGGATGAAATATTTGTAGAAATCACTATTTGTGGGAATCAAAAGTAACAGAATATTAAGTGGCATGCATTTAGGGTTCAAGACATAAAGAAACATCTAGTACAATTGGTCCAGTACAGGTGGATAATATTATACACAAAACACTGAAAAGCTAACTAAGGCAGGTAGGTTTATTTAATTGTCACCATAGATGGAATAATTAATTAAAACTTACGTGTCTGCTTGGAATGCTAGAGAAATCTTTTTTTTAATTTATTTTATTTTATTTGTGAACATACTGTACAGAGGGGTTACAATTACATGGGAAGGATAATGCGTACATTTCTTACCAAGCATTGCAGCCTCCTCCTTTGTTTATCCTTCACATCCCTTCCCAGCCTCCCCCTCCCCCCCAGTCCCAATCC